GACTACCTCTGTTGACACATACTTTAATTTCCTCCCAACCCATCATCCATGTACCTCTTGTAACCTAGCTTGTTTATACTTATAAACTTCTGAGCCGATCTCGCCACTGTTGTTCCAGGCCTAAGTGTGGTGAATGTTGCACAAGAAGGGAAGAGGGGTGTTTCTTCCAGACATTTGATTTGTTCTGATTATTGATCAATTTCAACAACTAGCATGAGTTAAACTTTTTCAACTCTGGAAAAGATGGGAGGATGAGCAGATAGACGAAAATTTGAATTTTCAAACCCTTTACTTTGTATGCTGTGGAAAATCTGCAGTTTTCTTATGGCATGACTTAACAGTAGTGTTATACTTTCTCTTATTGAAGGGTTATATTTGAATATGTTATCAGTAGAATTATCTAATCTCTGGTTCTGCCAGGTACACTGTTTCTGCTTTCTGGGTGATTGTCAACTGAAACGATGGAGATGTAACCATCATGTTGTTTGTTGTAGTTCGGTTAAGGCTTTAATTTAGGTTAGACGCTGACTAAATTTGGGAATTTGACTAGATCCTGCATTCTTATGGTACTAGTTTGCTGGTGCATTGTTGCAAGGTTACATTTATTGTAATAGAACAATAAACTCAATACAAGGACATTGGAGACTTTGCCTGAGAGTCCACACCGTTATACAAGACCCATTTATAAATGGTCGTTATAAATTTGTAAGTTAATAGCTTTTTCATGTATTCACTAGATGGTAGGGCAAGAAAAAGTAAGTCAAAACAAACAACTAGGTTCGGTTGGTTTTGTGCAAAATTGTTTCACATCAGTTGGTTGGCTACAAAAATTATTTTTTAAGAAAGTATATATATATATATATATATATATATATATATAGGGTAAGTTATCATGAAAAACTTTTTATAATTATTATGGGTATTTTTTTGTGCATATTACAATTTTTAGTACTACCACATCCCAAAAGACACTTTTCAGAGATTCAAATCACAATCTGGCCAAATATCTGGGGAAACAGAGAATGAATGCTCTTATACTAGTTTATAGGACATAGTTCTCCCCACACCGAATTTTTCCTCAATGCACCTTTAGACGAGGCACATGAAGTTGCTAGCTTCCACAGCTTGACCTAACATGGAATTGAAGCTTCTTTAGTTTCTAAAGCATGTTGCTCCAACCAGCTTGGAACAAGAAAAAAATCCCTGTTACAAATTCCTTTTGATTTTTGTTAAAAACTGTAAGCAAATTTTCTTAAGCCCATCAATCTCCACATGATGAAAAGTTGGATAATCCGATCATACTTGTCCAATCATCCATGAGCTGATGCTAGATGATTGATTGCACACTTCTGCAAGAAGATTGTTCTCCTCGTCTTCATTCATGATACACAAATACGTCTTGAGGCTTCCATCATTCAACTTATGCATAGGTTGGTCACGCTAAATTCTATGACAATTGAATCCATCAAAGTTCTCTTTTTCTTTAACTACCGCGATCTTAACACTTTAGGTTTCTTTTCAGTTGCTACCTACCTAAAGAAGTAACAACTAGTAGCTAGCATTCTCTGGTTTTGTTTAAGATATCAATGGCCAAGGAACCACATCCGCATGTGTCCTGGCTACTGTCAAATGCTAGCTTCAACTTGGACCCACTCTGATATATGTGGATCATTCATTCACGCAAACTCAGATCAATACCCAAGTTACTATTATATTAACCAAAATGTAGGAGCTTGAAGCAACAATAAGATGGAAAAAAGCATGTTTCAGAACAAGAATGTCGTATCTCTGTCACTCATTTCCTAAACAAAATCAGGGACACCAACTAACACTAAACAGAAACAAAAGCATAACGAAACTTCTAAATGAAAAAGACCAGCACTTTGATACTCCTTAGTCGAAAAGACTGAAGCCCATATCCTGCAAAAAATTCAGAAGTTTGTCAGATTACTTGCTATTGATACAAAAATAAAGGAGGATCACAGTATACAAGCAAGTAGGGGAGGCTTACGTCATCAGACTCCTCTTTCTCTTCTACTTTCTCCTCTTTCTTATCCTCAGCAGCAGGTGCAGCGGCAGCACCTCCAGCTGGAGCAGCGGCAGCAACTGCAACACCAGCACCACCACCAGCGGGTACTGAAGCCAACTTCTCCCTACCAGCTGCAATCAGCTCTGTGATATCCTTACCATCCACTTGAGATAAAAGCAAATCAATTTTTTCATCATCAGCATCAGCTCCAACTGTCAACAACCAACCAAAAAGACCATTAAGTGGGGACATCTAAATAGAATCCAAGTACAACAGAGGACAAATTTGACCCTAACTGTATAATGAAACTGAAAAACTACAACAATACTAATTGATTCAAATGCCCCCCACCTAAAATAGAATTAACCAAAACCTACTGCATTCAGGCTCAAGCACCAAGATCTTAAATTAATGTTTAACGTATATTCCTATATAAAAAGCTACAATTCATAAGCAATGTCTACGGTAACAAAACTAATTAGGCGAGTGGTACTTCAATTCCTTCACATTCTTCAAGAAATGAAAGGATAGTAGCACCCGTGCTCACACATACGCCAACCCTAATCAATTTCGAGATGGGTCAAGTATAACGAAAACTTTACTCACAGAAAAAGGAACCCATAATGAAATTCTTCCCCAAAACCAAAAACCAGAAATGTATCAAACAAGGAATTCACAATAATATAATCAAATACAAATCATATACAACCCTTAAGGTTGAAATTCTCAAGTAGAACCCAAAACCCAAGGTCAAACTACACTGGAATCACTCCCTCCAGTCTCCAAATAGACCATTGCTCACAAACAGTCTGCAATGGAAACTAACAACATATAGATATAGATAGAGAAAGTTCATAAATAAAAGAATCTATCTTTACTAGATAACTTTAAATCCCCATATAGGAATAAGCACCCCAATTAACATCAATAGCATGAGCTTCTCCATTAGAAACAAAATTTTAAACTAATTCTCAAGCACATGTTTTAAACAAAATTTAAAACACTTGCTCTGGTAACATCATAGGGGCAAAACTAGAACGGTAATGAAATAATTTCCAGAAAAAAACCAATAAGAAACAGGGGAAAGAAAGAAAAGTACCGGAAGCAAGGATGGCCTTAATATCCTTGGCAGAGGGACAGGTGTTTCCTCCCAACAAGGCCAACAAATATGCGGCGACCACCTTCATCTCTGAAATCGAGAAAAAAGCAAATAATAATAAGAACACTACTTCATTTATCAAGAAATTCACCCAAAACCCCATATAAAAAGGTGAGAAAAAAAGTTCAAATCGTGCATGCCAGTGGTTGTATCCAGATGGACAGAGAATAGATTACCTGAGATACAGTGGAAATCCGGAAGAATGGAGAGATTGATTGCTGATCGGCTGCGGCGCCCGAAGCTAGGGTTTTAACGCGAGGAAGGTGAAGAAGAACCCTGGGCTCGGCTTTAATATACATGGATCTCCACTTGGACTATTTATCACTAGGGTTTTTTGGGGTTTTGATTAAATCCTGGCCCTCCATTTTCTATAAGTTTCCGAAGGTACCCAGTCAAACACTCCTAAACGTGGGCTCCAATTTTATGGCCCAATAAATAACCCAACCTACACCTACGGTGAGGCCTGTTTGGTAACTTAATTCAGTACTTAAATTTAATATGTTCAGCCAAAATATCTTAATTAATTAAGTGACATTGAATTTTCTACGCAAAATTTGCTTCACAAAATAATCGATAAATTATTTTACTTGATATAATATATACTCAAATTTATTATATTTATAATTTAATGAATTTAAATTTTATATTTCAAATTTCAGTTTTATTAAACGTAACACCAAAATGTTGTGGTGTATTTGAAAAGGTTTCAACCTCGTTATCACCCTAGAATACCGGCCCAAAGAGCTCTATAGTCTGTGGCGAAGAACTGAGTTTGTTTGGATAGGAGTTTATTTGGATGATTTATTTCAGATAATTACTGTGGTATTTTTTGTGATATGATGTATGTGAAATAAAAGGGTGATTGAGAAAATAAAAAAAGTGATTGAAATTTGTAAAGTAAATTATTTTATTTGAAATCATCTCAATCCAAACAAACCCCCTTCTACAAATTGTACGCTAGTAAAAACTACTAAGGTGCTAAGTCTATAATCCAAGTGATAGTAAGTGCACGCTAACATGGGAGCACTATTGGCACTTGGCTAACAGAAATCTCTTCCTAGAGAGTTTACTCTAAAAAGAAAAATCAATCTGCTAGAAAGTTATAGTATTTCATTGCAATTTGCTAAAGATCAAAATCATTTATTTAACAAAATAATTGTGCTAATTCATTTTTGTGCTAGACAATTCCAAGCAAACAAAAAAGAGCTGTACGTATTTTTGTTGATTTGATTACTTTAGTTATCATTCTTGCCCTGTATAATTTTATCAATTAAAGCATCATCAATATGGAATTTATAAAGACATATCGAGAATTTAATTGTAGCATTATGCCTCACTTTACCCCTTTGTTTATAGTTAGTTTTGGAGTTCAAATTTGATAAGAAAAGAAAAGAAAATGAAACAAATGACTTTCTTGCTGCCGTTTGGACTCTAAGAGATATAGAAAAGAAAGGAAACCACATGATTTGGACGGATAATCTATAGTTGATAAAGTTTTCCACCCAAATGTGAGGAAGGAAAGTTGAGAAAGAACAAATTTTTATTGACATACACATCTCAGATCATCTCATTTTTTATCAAAACTTTCAAACAACGTTAGAATTTCTTTCCTTCTTTTCTTTCATATTGTAAACTCCCAAACTAACTATTAGTCAAAAATCGAGTTCAACTTTGTTTTGATTTTATGTAAACGCAAAGTAGAATTACCACAAACACCTCCAAGCAGAGGGGCAATTTCGTCACCCCAAACGTTTGTTAACGTTAAAACAAAAGCGCGGGAAACTCCCCCACCCACTGTCACAGTCCCGCCTCTTTCAACCCCATCTTCTTCACTCAAAAAAAGCCTAATTCTCAAGGCGGCTTTCTGTTTTCCTTTCTTGGCTTAGATCCACTAACTCGCTAACTCAGTAACTGAGTTACCGTCCTCTTCTTCTTCTTCCAATTTCTTCTAACTGCTAAATACAGAACCAGATTATAAAAAAAATGAACGGCAGCGATAACAGACGGCGAGATCGCAGAGATACAAGGATTTCCAAGAAGCAGAAGCTAATTCTCAGTGCTGAGGAGCAACTCGAGTCCAAACTCGGCTTCGATCTCTTTACCGAAGGCGATAAACGCCTTGGCTGGCTCCTCACTTTTGCCTCGGTATGGTATTTCATTTCCCTAATGCGCTTTTTTGCACGTTTGCCGTTTGACTCCGCATAACTGATGACGAATTTTTCGCTCTTTTCGTTGGAATTTTAGTCTTCTTGGGAGGATCAAGGGACTCGTAAAGTCTACAGTTGTGTCGACCTTTATTTCGTTTGCCAGGTAAAAAAGAAAAGAGACAAGTGAAATGTATTGAGCTTTAATTTATAAATTTGAGAAAAAGGATAAACTTTCTGGTTTTGAACTTGTTATCATTATGATTTAATGTAGGATGGTTCGACGTTTAAGGCAAAGTACAGGTACAGGCCATATTTTTATGCGGCCACCAAGGTGAGTGAGTTACTTCTCAAAATTTTTAGCATTAAACATTGTAAATTGAAACTTTCTTTGGGCCTTGTACTCTTTTTTTGATGTATTGGTGTTAATTCGATGTGATTATAGCCAAAAATGGAAATGGATGTGGAGGCATATTTGAGACGACGATACGAGGGTCAAATTGCAGAGATTGAAATTATAGAGAAAGAGGATCTCGATCTTGTAAGCTTGATAATTATCTCGTGTCTCACATTTTTATTTTTATAGTATTTGTGTAATTAATAAGGTACTTTGAGTATTACGTGCTGTAGCTACCCATTCGTATTTGATCATTTTGCATCATTGAACTCTTACGTGTGAATTTTTGCACGAGTAACTATTCGAAACTTTTGGTGACAAGGAAAGGTTTTATGCTACTAAATGAGTTGAACTTGATACTATGATTCAGAAGGTTAAAGATGGCTTGCATGTAAAACTGATATTTAGTGTTTTCAAAAAAAGAAAGAAAGAAAGAAAGAAAGAAAGAAAGAAAAGATATTAAACTGAAATTCGTTGTTAATTAAATCGATAGAGGTCTTGGTTTCTAGTCTCATTGAATGTGAGTTGTAGTCTATCCATCTGTTTGGTATTGTTCCCACCAACTGTGGGTTAGATTGTAATATTGCTGAATAGTTGAGTTGTAATCTATGGGTATTGATTGTAGTGTTGCTGAGATGTTGAGTCGTAATTCTGTCCCATCACTGTGGATTAATTGTAATTCGATTAAAGAAAAAGAAAAAAGCTAAAAGAGGTTCTGTTGACCGGTGGAAAAACCAAAAATTTGCTTAATATCATTTGTTTACATAGTAACGTCCCTAATTTTGATATCCTTTACTTGGAATTCTTGATTGTCTGGAATGGGAAACGTTGATGACTTGAATTTATTTTAATCAAGTTTATAATCATATCTCTGTTTCCTGTCAAAAGAGTGGACTGTATAATAAGCTAAACATGCTGGTCCATCTTTGAGCTTCGGTGTTACTGCTGAAGCAGTAAAATTCATCTGGTTCAGTGTTATCTTGTTAATAAACTGGAATGGGGAGAGCTCAGGAACTTCATGGACATATTACTTCACCTAATACTCTATGAGGATGTCTGAGAATGGTTTCAGCATTGAAGTTACTTTATGCTTCATGTCCTTAAAGTGAAAGTGAAAAACTGACAGGGCCAAGGGACTCTGATGTAGAATTCTCACAAGGGACCAAATTTTGCTAACTTTCCTTTATTTCCTTAAGATATAGACTTGCCCACTCCATGGAAATTAGGCTTGAAAAGTGTTCCTGATCTGTGAATTGCTAGTTCTACATGATTGACCTAAAGCTTGAAATTTTTCTTACGCGTTTATATGCCTTACAGAAAAATCACCTCTCTGGCTTATCCAAATCTTATCTGAAGATAGCTTTTGATACTGTTCAACAATTGATGAGTGTCAAGAATGACCTAATGCATATTGTAGAAAGAAACCAAGAAAAGCTTGATGCTAGCGAAGCTTATGAGTTCATCTTGACAGAAAAGAGGTAAAAAAATATCACGTATGGTTCTGCTCTTCTACCTTTATTGAACTTTGTATTTGTTTTTATAGAAGCTTTGTGCATATGTCTGTAGCTACACATTTGTAATTTTGCATTTATATGCGTTTGATCTCTTCCCAATCTTAGTGTATAGATAATCATTTTGTATTTGAGACATGCAGTAAACAAAGGCCTCAAGATTTTATAGATTGTATTACTGACCTCCGGGAGTATGATGTCCCCTATCACGTACGCTTTGCAATTGACAATGGTGATTCTTTTTTCTAGTTTCTGGACTTAAAGATGGTGTTATTTGTTCAACTGCACATTTATGAGCTATTCCTGTCTCATTCATGATTTTTGTGTTATTCAGATGTAAAAAGTGGGCAGTGGTATGATGTTACTGTATCCAGTTCAGGAATTGAACTCCAGAGGAGGACAGATCTCTTGCAACGTGCTGAAGTTCACGTTTGTGCTTTTGATATTGAAACAACAAAGCTGCCTTTGAAATTTCCAGATGCTGAATATGATTCAATAATGATGATCTCTTACATGGTTGATGGACAGGGTTATTTGATTATCAACAGAGAGGTGCTTATACCATAACAATCAAATTGTTCTTCGATTTTTCTTAGATTGAAATGCATGAAAGTTTTGTTTTCTGTGGCCTTTCAAGTTCCTTTTGTTCTTCTTGACTTTAGTAGTTCAAAGGTTAGTGGGAATATAGACTATCATGATAAGCATGTTTCTGAGACGAGTCCTTATACGATGCTCAGATTATCAATTAAATGCATTAGGCCGTTTCCTTTGGTTGTTAATTGGATTTCAAACTCTTAAAAACATTGTTTGGTATTCATGGAATAAATTGATTCATTAGTTGGTTCCTGACTGCTTTTGACTATAATAGTTGGAAATGATTGTTAATAAAAACAACTGGCTATATACTAATGAATTTTGAAGTACATGTTAGCCGCAAATATTCTGCTCAAAATTTTGTTTATCAAGATCATAGTAGGAATCTAGAGGTGAAAAGAAAGGAAAAACAAACAGGGAAGAGAAGGGAGTGGAAAACAGTGGCAAGATTTTGCTTCATGAACTCCTTTACACATGATATCCACATGTAAGATTCAAGCAGGATAGTTTGTAGCTAGCAACATGGTTGTTCAATTGAAAATCTTTATAATCAACAAATACATTACTTGGTCACCATGTAGTTTAGATAGCTATTGCAACGATAGCATCAGAAGAAATCAAGAGAAAATGAAACATGGAAGAGTACTAGCATCAAGCTCATGTGATTGAATTGGACAAAAGGTTGAAGTAAAATGCCTTAATAAAGGTAAAAAGTTAAGGCAGTTGAAATTCTGTGTTCATAAAGATCGTCAAGTTTGAGTCAAAGACTTCCTCATTTACTGTCACACTAATTTCATCACTCTTTGATGTAATGATCTCCATTGCATTCTGCCCTGTCAATTTCTTATATGTATCTCTGTGTTTTATTAGTCTAAAAATGAGAGGAGCTGTGAACAAATATAGATCTTCTGGGTTGGTCCATGAGTTAACCTGGTTGATTGAAACCTATATTGTCCATCAATTCCACAATTGACAAGCATATATTACTTTTCCAGATTCATGACGGATTTTTGCGTCTTAATATTCTTAGCTTAATCTGATAGAACATAGGCATTTGTGTCAATGGACCTTGGAAATGTTGTGCCTTAAAAGCCACTTGCTGTATTCCCTGGGAACCATGAATCTCCCTATCTACTTTTCCTTCAACATTCCATTTAATGCCACTGTTTATAGGAAGTGAGACTTCCTTTTTAAGATTGGAATATCTCTGTTTGGACGTTTCTTCTGCTTTTTTATCCAGTACATCACCTTTGAGTTAAATATTTGTTTCTTGTATCTTCCAGTGTGTTGGGGAAGATATAGAGGACTTAGAGTACACCCCAAAACCAGAATTTGAGGGGTACTTTAAAGTTTCCAATGTGAAAAATGAGGTACTTGATGTGTTTTACTATGTAGCTCTGTTGGAATTCTCCTCCAATACTCTCTTAGCATCTGATGATTAGTTTTCTTTTACAGGAATGGCTTCTTAGAGAGTGGTTTGCACATATGAAAGAAGTGAAGCCGGGGATATATGTCACATACAATGGTGATTTTTTTGACTGGCCATTCTTGGAGAGCAGAGCAGCTCATCATGGTTTTAGAATGAATGATGTATGAATGGATACTGTCCTTTGGCCTTTTTTAGCACTTTGTCATGGTTTTATTTTTTATTTTTATTTTTGTTTGTATTGATTGCTTGACTAGGCAGTTTGGAAGCTGTGAATGTGCATTTTAATTTGCAATTTGAATAAAATTTTAAGGGGAAAGTTCGCGAAATTGAACTTTGTAGTCAACGTCCTCTTTCTCCCCCCTCCCTTGCAAAATGTTGGGTTGTTTGCTGAGTGGATTGAAATTGCAATTTTTAAATGGGTTACTAAATGCAAGGTGTTAAGCATACAAAACAGCTTTTCAAGTCAAATATTTTCAGTGGCACATTGAGTTTGTTCGGCTAACAAAGAGGAGTTTTGCTACCACTTGTTGGTTAGATGTGCTGATGAGTCTTCTTCATTTTAATTTTGCATTGCGCTGTATATCCCCGCAAGGCTAATTCTTCAACTTGTAAGATCAATAGTTAAATAAAGAGGATCTGTCTATTTGCTTGCATAAATAAGGATATTTCCCACCTTCTGCCATTGGGTGAGGCTTTGGATTTGCTCTTTAAAGAAGAGTTAAGACTCAAGAAATGAACTGGCTTGCAGAAAGTGGGGTTGGGGGGCTGGTTCTGGAGGAATCAACTACATGGTGTTAGACTTAGTTGAATTTAATTTTCTGAGCTTTATGGTTAATTTTGATTTGAGCGTTGGCTGCTGGCATGCTTCTGCTTTTTCCAAGTTGGCATACATATTTGCTGGCCTAGAATTTCAATGTGGTTTTTTTATATATGGTCCAATGTGCAAGTTTACATATTGTTTGTCTTGTTTTATCTGGTCATTCCTTCTTTTTGTTTTGCAGGAGCTTGGGTTTCAGTGTGACAAGAATCAAGGCGAATGTCGTGCTAAATTTGCCTGTCATTTGGATTGCTTTGCTTGGGTAAAACGTGATAGTTATCTTCCTCAGGGAAGCCATGGCCTGAAGGTGAAATCCTTTGCCTTTGTTTCGTCAGTGCTCATTGGATAATTTTTATTTTTCTTATACCTTCTGTTGTTCAAATTGTGCGTTGAAAGTTACTAAACTCTTTTGCTACCTGTAAGAGTCCAGCTGATATTAGAACAAAACTTTGGGTAACTCAATCGTCAGAATTCCCTTTGATGGCACTTAAGTTCTGTTAATTGTGCAAAGTTAACTTGAAAATTAGAAGAATGCAGAAGAATCTCAGCATTTGGGTCTTACCTTGATTAATATGTTTGATAAGAAAAATATTTTTTTCCTTCCATTGGTGCTCAAGTACTGATTGCTTTTCTGAACTTACTGTTGAAAAGGGTGGAGATGGCCGCTTGATGCATTTTTTGTTAACTTAAAAACTGCAACTAATGTTTCCCCAGAGCCTTATGTTTCAAAATGAAACTTTTGTTGTACATTTATTATTTCAGTCCCACTATATTTACTTTTCAGTCCAACTTGGTTAACTTTGAAGGTGAGTCCAGATATTAAATTTTTCTCACAATTTCAGGCTGTTACAAAGGCCAAACTGGGTTATGACCCTTTGGAGGTAAATCCTGAGGACATGGTTCGCTTTGCAAAGGAAAGGCCCCAGGTACGAGTTGAGTCTATATGTTTCCGTTGCATTTAAAGCATTGCTGCAAATTGAAGAATAAAAAATCTATGCTTCAGCAGAATGCACTAGGTTGTGAAAAACTGTAGACAACCAAATAAAACCAGGATTGGACCATAGAGGATGCATTGAATAATTTAAAGGCCAGCTTATTGGTGTTTTACCTATATTTTCATGAAAACATTGCTATTGCTTTTGTAATGTATTTTGGTGTTCAGAAGTGTATCTTCTTTGTGCCTCGATCTCTTTTCTTAATTTGAACCAGTGATACTTAATTTAACTGTTTCACTGTCATCTCAAAGTCTGAGGGTTGGACTTATCTTTAGAGGGTTTTACTGCTTGTATCGTGATTGCATGAGAAACTTGCATCTTTGTTCATTTTCTTTGTGGTAATAGTTTTAATATAGTGCTTCTGTTTGTTGAAAATTTTCAGATGATGGCTTCCTATTCTGTTTCTGATGCTGTGGCAACCTATTATTTATATATGACCTATGTACATCCCTTCATTTTCTCTCTTGCAACCATTATACCCATGCCTCCAGATGAAGTATTGCGGAAAGGAAGTGGGACTTTATGTGAAATGCTTCTTATGGTCCAGGTGGGTGGTTATAGATTATTATTATTATTATTTTAAATTTATCTTGTAAAGGTCTTGTTAATAGCCTTAGATTAATTTTATTCATGTAGAGCTTACTTATGCCACTTTAGTCTTGTTAATAGCCTTAGATTGATTCCATTCATGGAGAACTTACCTATGCCACATTATCCATCTGTTGTTCTTGTTTTCCTCTTTTGCTTTCTCTATCTCCACTACAGCTTTTACTAAGTGCATGCCAATTTGATCACCAAATCTTATTCCTCAAAATTTGCAGGCTTACAAAGCAAATGTTATCTGTCCAAACAAACACCAATCTGATCCAGAGAAGTTTTACAATAATCAGCTCCTAGAGAGTGAGACATACATTGGTGGCCATGTCGAGTGCCTAGAAAGTGGTGTTTTTAGATCTGATCTTCCAACTAGCTTTAAACTTGATCCATCTGCTTATGAGGTAGTTTTCTTGGTATTCTTAGATGAGCATTTTCAAAAATTTTGATTTTAATTAGTCAACCAGTACCTTGGTTTGGTCATAGAGGCACAAAAGTCATTCCTGCTGATAAGCTTGTCCTATATCTTACCAAGTTGCTTAAATGTCTTTTAAATTGAAAATCAGATAGTTTCTGTTAGCTACCTATGTGCTTATATTTATGATCGAAAAGATGCTATGTGTTTGCTATTTCATGAACAGTTTGCTATCATCTTATATTGAAGAATAAATTTTAGCATACTCTCAGCGAGACATGTAAAAATTTTACCAAATCCACTTCACTATCACTTTAATCATAAGTTTCCTGCTCTACATCATTACTTGAGCATTATGTATTTGGTGTATTTTTATGAATAGTAGTTGATATTTTATTCATTTCATTCGCTAATAGCTTCCTGACTTTGATTTTGGGGGAACTGTATAGTGAGTGTGTCGGTTATCTTAAAAGGTCATGACAACTTCAGTAGAATTTATAATAAACAAGAAAGATGGTTGGGATCTATAAGACTGTCAGGATACAATGACAACTAATGCATTCCAACAAATAAGCTAAATGAGTTGTTCTTGTCTCACCTTTCATCCATGAAGTGATGGAAAAGGCAATATGAGTTTGACTGGATTTTCATAAGTGGGTTAAGGAATTGCTTCTATGATTCTTAATGTTTCATCAAGTTTTGCTACTGTTTTTTCTTTCTGGCCCACGGTTGCTCAGGGCCTAAAAATTTTGACCGAAGATTGACCTAGTTCTTACATGTCCAGCAACTAATTGACAACCTTGATCGTGATCTACAATATGCCATTAGTGTAGAGGGAAAGATGGATCTGGAATCAATCTCAAACTACTACGAAATAAAAGATGCCATCAGTGAAAAGGTAGCACTTTTTTGTCATCTTAGAAACTGAATTGTGGATGGAAAACTCGATGAGAAATGCATTCTGATATGTCTCCATCTGATCTTTTGTTTTGCTTCTCCCTTAACATGCAATGAATTGTCATCTACTGCAACTTTGTTACCTTCCTAACTAAAAAATTATTAACTTTTTACTGTTAAAGGCAAATGTAACATATAGTTTTGCTGTAATTTTACCAATGGTTTTCTTTCATGACTAGTTACCTGCATCTGGATTCTATTTCATATATAGTTCTTATTTACCTTTACCATATCTGCAGCTTATAAGGTTGCGAGATGACCCTGTACATGAAGAATGTCCTCTCATATATCATCTCGATGTGGCTGCTATGTATCCAAACATTATATTGACAAACAGGCTCCAGGTATGCAGATTATGCAACTTCAACTATTGCATCTTCTTGACAATCTTTGATTTACATAGAGTTGGAGAATCAGCAGAAGGGCCAAACTCTTTACATGCAGCTGGATACATCACAGCCTTTTTTAATCATTTTATCCTTTTGGTGCAGCCATATTATCTTCTTGGACACTGCTGGACTACTAAGAATAGCATTTGAATTTGCATTATTATCTTAGAATGTTTCCTTTTGCTGTTAGCTGATGCTTTGAAGGCATTAAGTATGAGTTAATCTGCTTAAGCATTTTTCTTTAGGACATAATTAGTGGCCATCCCATCCCCTTTATGTGAAAACATCATTCTCTTTATGTGCTCTGTTTTAATGACTTTGTATGCAAGATGTTTACATTGAGGGTGATTTAGTAGATTTTGACTAAATTACAATGATCGATATAATTAGTATTACTCCCTTGATTTATGTGCTTTGTCAAATGTGCCAATACAATCTTGGTTCAGTGCAGCTCCACCCTTTGGCTATTGATACTCTGTTGGATTCTTAGGTTTTTTAACAATCTCATGAGATTGCATTGCCCCTTATGCACCTTTTGACAGTCTCTCCTGTCTCAGGCTTCTTCGTTTCCTATCTCTTGCTCTCACCAGTTCTCAGTTTCCGTTTATATGAGCACTGTCATGAGCTTTTTTACTTCTCTCAAATGTCATGTTATGTTACTTTTAGCAAGTTATATGCAATTCTTTGATGCAACTTAGAAGTAGTTGATTTGTATATTATTGACTCGTGCTTGTTCTTTTGAATGCCAGCCACCATCAATTGTCACGGATGAAATTTGCACTGCATGTGACTTCAATCGCCCAGGAAAAAATTGTCTACGAAAACTTGAATGGGTCTGGCGAGGGGAGACCTACATGGCAAAGAGAAGGTTTATTTTTGCATTGTTCTTATCATTGGATAAACTCTTTACGATCTCGTCACTGATAGTTGCTGTTCACTTGCCTGAAATATCAGTGATTATCATCATCTAAAGAGGCAGCTTGAGTCGGAGCTTGTTGAAGGTGCGGATGGGCAATCAGCAAAAACTTTTCTTGAATTGCCGAAAGCAGAGCAACAATCAAAACTGAAAGACCGTCTTAGGAAATATTGCCAAAAGGTACATTTTTCCATTCTATGCCAGTTCAATACAGGTATTTGCCTCAGTCTAACGTTGAACAGCAAGATTTTCTACTTGAGCAGGCTTATAAAAGAGTACTTGACAAACCAGTTACTGAGCTTCGAGAAGCAGGGATCTGTATGCGTGAAAATTCCTTCTATGTTGACACTGTCCGTAGGTAAGCTCTAGTAGTTTTTATCATGTAAACATGCCATTTTTCCTTCGTCTTTGCTGGTTTTGACTCAGTTGTAGTAGGGCATTTCATTAATTTGTTAATGAGCAAAGACGTGAACTAATAATTGTCTTGTTTTAATTAGTTTTCGAGATAGAAGATATGAATACAAAGGTCTTAATAAAGTCTGGAAGGGAAAGTTGTCCGAAGCCAAAGCTAGTGGAAATCCTATGAGGATCCAGGAAGCACAAGTAATCTCTCTCTCTCTCTCTCTCACCCTCCCTCTCTGAAAAGCATTCATACACATATACACAGCTGCACGTGCCTGCCTTTATGCACCATGTGGGAGTTACTTCAATTACAATTAGTATGGAGCTGCTATCAGGCTTAACTAACTCTGCTGCCTCTTTTCCTACTTTGGCAGGACATGGTTGTTCTATATGATTCTTTACAACTTGCTCATAAGTGTATTCTCAACTCTTTCTATGGATATGTCATGCGAAAGTATGAATCAGACACATTCTTCTCATTTGACTTTAGATAATTCTTCCCAAGTTGGTATTTGTTCCCTTTGGATAGTCGTTACAACGTCCTAGTTCTTTTATAGGGGTGCCAGATGGTATTCTATGGAAATGGCTGGAGCTGTTACATATACAGGAGCAAAAATTATTCAGAATGCTCGGTTGCTGATTGAAAGAATTGGAAGACCACTTGAACTAGATACAGACGGAATCTGGTGTGCCTTGCCTGGGTCTTTTCCAGAGAACTTTACCTTTAAAACAAAGTATGCTTCTGATATGCAATGGGCTTAATCTTATTTTACAGAGTTTTCATTCTTCAATGCTTGATAAGCACATTGTTTCATTTTCCTTTAGGCAGTGGGGGTCTGCTTCTCAATTGTCAAAATTAATGCTTTTTTGCTGCATTATTTCTGGAGAAATTAATATGCTTCTGTGGAACACATTCAATTGCAGAGACCCAAAGAAGAAGCTGACAATCTCATACCCATGTGTTATGCTTAATGTCGATGTGGCAAGAAACAACACTAACGATCAATACCAGGTAAGAAGAAAACCTATGTTGTGTCTCTCAAAAAATTGTAAGTCTACTACAGCCATATGGCATACTGTAAACTGACAAAGAAACTGCAATTGTTTTTTCTCTTTTATATTCTTTTAAGCAGTAGTCCTTTTGAACAGATAGAACTGACTGTTAACTCAAATTACGTTCAGACTCTGAAAGATCCTATAACTAGGACCTATACAACGCACAGTGAATGCTCAATTGAGTTTGAAGTTGATGGACCCTATAAGGTGCAGTGCTTGATATCTCATTTGCAAGATGAAATGAAATGATGACTTCTATATGAGCTTGATTAGTATCTACCTTTTTATGTAGTCTGAATTCTTTTTTATTTTCCCCCCGGCATCTAGGCTATGATTCTTCCTGCTTCCAAGGAAGAAGGAATCTTGATAAAGAAGCGTTATGCAGTTTTTAATGATGATGGGACCCTGGCAGAGCTGAAAGGTTTTGAGATTAAACGGCGTGGAGAGCTAAAGCTCATCAAAGTTTTCCAGGTAATTTCCTCAAACAGTTAAATTGCCTACATCATTTAATTAAAGTAGGAGATCAACTAACAAGAGTTGTTTGATGTACAAATTCTGTTACTGATGCATGATGGATAGAAACATGCTTAGCATCATTTGCATTACCAATTTAATTAAACTAAGATCAATTTGAAAACATTTATGAACTTACATTTATGACCTTTAGGTTTCAATATCTAATTGTGTTAGTAGTTGGTTACCAAATCTATTTCACCATTGCGATTCTTTTTCCCTATCTTTTCCTATTTTATCTTTTAATCTTTTGTTACAATTTTTAAGAGTAGATTTAAGGACTCTGCTAATATGCAATGCTGCACCATGGAATAGCAGACAAAAAGTACGAACAATGTACTTTTTGTAGTTATTTGCTTGACATGCAGAAGTTGCTAATTTCTGTTCCAAGGAATACACAAAAGTAAACGTTTTGCAATGTTTGTTGTCCATGTTCTGAGTTAACTGTGGTTATTTTTGTACCCATTTAAGCAATAAATGATGGGCATGTTTGGTTGGTCGGTTCAAATTCCAGAAGTTGAACTTGTACAGAAGAAATGTATCTATAAATGGGGTGTAAAATCCTTTGCTTTATCAGGCTCCTAGCAAACGTCTCTCTCCAATAAAACTATCATGTCATGCAAGTATATGCATTATGAGAATGTTTCCTATGATTGCCTATCTTTCACTTGTGAAAGAAGATGCTCTATGGGGTACCCATGCTTTCCAAGTCTTCCGCTTCTCACTGTTACTCTCTTAATACGATAATATGTAACAAGAGAAAACCATCTCAAAATTCCGTGAAATAAAATCTTTCCTACTTTCTGAATCTTGCAGAAACTTAATTGCGAGTAGAGGGGCAATTAATTGGTTGAAAAATAAATTAATTTGTAAGCTAGAGCCTATTTCTATCCTTATGTATTCATCTTGATTTTGAATGAATGCTCATTCAGAACCTCATGTTATAAGTTTGGCGTACTTAAAAACCTTATAATTGCAGGCTGAACTTTTTGATAAATTTCTGCATGGGTGCACCTTAGAGGAGTGCTATTCAGCTGTTGCTTCTGTTGCAAATCGATGGCTTGATCTTCTCGATGTAAGTTGAACAGATTCTGATATCATTTGGAAGAAAAAGCTTGAAAGTTGCCATGGATCCCATAGTCATTAACTCTTTTGTAGATAGAAATCTTTTGGAATTCTTAAGCTAACATAATTTGCTGTATTGCATTAGCTAAAGATTCAGATTGTGATACTGTAAACTATTCTAATGCCCCAGAATCAAGGAAAAGACATTGCAGACAGTGAACTGCTTGATTACATATCAGAATCAAGCACAATGAGCAAGTCCTTAGCAGACTACGGTGAACAAAAGTCTTGCGCTGTTACCACAGCAAAGCGACTAGCTGATTTTTTGGGGGATACAATGGTTAAAGACAAAGGATTGCGTTGTCAATATATTGTTGCATGCGAACCAAAGGTATCCATATCTTTAGCTAGGCAAATGGAGATTCTGGCTTTTGACTTTTGCCTTGTCTGCTTGATTCAAATTATGGATAACTCTGAATACTAGATTATTGCTTTCTATATGCATTGAAATATTCTCCATCCTAGATACAATGTACAGAAAGTATCATGACAATCCAGTTTTCTAATTCACACTTGTGGATTTACGGTCTACTAGGCTGTAAATACTGGTCCTTCAGCTTGTGTTCATTATGCATAGAAATCAATGATAAGAAAGTGCTCAAATTTTGTAGACCCTAAACTTACCACACAGGCTGCTGATATGAGATCTCTTAGTGTCTCCCTTTTGTGATGTTGACTTTTTGCTGTTTGTTCCTATCCTTCTTTCATTCTTCTATTGTTTTTAAATTGCCTTTGAATGAGATCATCTCAAAGCTATGGACTGTCTTGAGCAGGGAACCCCTGTAAGTGAGCGTGCTGTGCCAGTTGCCATATTTGAAACTGAACCTGGTAAAAGTTTCCTTCACTTGGTTAATATGATGAACTTTTATTGATCAAATTGATGACTGCTTTTACGCTTTCTCATTTCAGAGATTATGAAGTTTTATGTAAGGAAGTGGTGCAAGATTTCATCAGATGGTGGCATACGTTCCATTATTGATTGGTCCTATTACAAGCAGCGTCTGAGTTCAGCTATCCAGAAAACAATTACCATTCCGGCTGCAATGCAGAAGGTACTGGATCGAATTGGTAATTGAATCTTCTTTCTTTTATCAAATGTCTAAAGTCAATTTGAAAATGTTTAAGGTGGCCAATCCTGTCCCAAGGGTAATTCATCCCGACTGGCTCCATAAGAAGGTTCGTGAGAAGGACGACAAATATCGCCAGAGGAAATTGGTTGATATCTTTGGTTCCCTGAGTAAAAATAATGGTTTAAAAGGAAGTAGTGATGTTATCAGTAACAAACAGGGAGTTGATGAACAAAATGCTGCAGATCTGGAGGATTTTGGGAAAATTAGTAGGACTTTTCGAGTTGGACCTAGACCTGTTGTTCATTGTTTTGATGCCAATGAAGTGCAGCAATTATCTAAAACAAGCTCTGAATTGGATTGTCCCCCACAACAAAGTATTCGTGATGGAGGCACTCCAAAACTATGGACATCTCCACAAGAAGCTGCTATTTCTAAGGAAAGTATTGACAGGAATGTAGATTATAGAGGATGGCTAGAATTAAAGAAAAGAAAATGGAGGGAGACACGGGAGAAAAGGAAGCGCCAGAGGTAACATTCTTCTTTGATTGGAATATAGGTTATATAATCTTGAAGGGGCAATACTGTTAAAGGCAAACTGTGATTTTATTGATGAAGATAAAATATGACTGTTTGCTCATGTTACTTTATCTTGGATCTCAAGTTATTCAAGTGTTCTGGACCGCAGAGATAGATTTAGCTTTGCAGTTTGAGAATTTAAGATACTATCAAACTGATATTGGAAGGTTTCCCAACTTCTTTTCACCCATCCAAAGCAGTGCAGGTCCTTTACACAACCACAACTGGTGCTATGGATTGAGCAATGCCTTCTGTCATGAAATATTTGATGTTGTTTTGAGTTTTTACTCTTGTTAAATTTCTTCTTTGAATTTTGCTATGATTCATGTATCCCTACCAGGATCTTCTGCTGCACTAGATGCTTGAAAATATGCTTTGACTTCAGCAATAAGGATTAATACCTGTATCCTAACTTTTCTAAGATGGCGCTGTGTTTTGAAGTTTGCTAATTTTTTAGGTGCTCTTTTGTGCTTTACATCAAGTTCTTATTCTTCTAATCCTGAAATATGTAGATCTCTTCAGTTAGATGTTAATGATTTTGAGTGCTAGAAACTCGCTTTTGACGAGTTTACCAACCATTTAGGTGTCTCAATTATAAAACTTCTAAATTAGCACGCATGCATGCCAGTAACTACATTGATGTGACTGTTGTAGGTTGGACGCTGCAAGGAAATCTAATAAACAGAATGGTATTGATGTACTTCCCGGTTTCATGTTCAAATATGGAAAAGCTAAAAGCCGAGTTGGGGTTAATTCTTATTTTGAGAATCATCAGATGGCACTCACCCGCAGCCATTGGCAGGTGATTCAGATCTCATGCTTTTAACAAAATGACATTTCAACATTAATGGTTTGCTTAGGTTTATCTATGTCCATTCAGATAATCCAGCTCATACCAAGTCCACAGCATGGACATTTTTTTGCCTGGGTAGTGATAGAAGGAGTCATGCGTAAGATTCCTATTACTGTTCCTAGGGTATTTTTCCTCAACTCTAAAGATCCAGTAACAGAAGAATTTCCTGGAAGGCGTGTGAATAAAGTTCTACCACATGGGCATACTAGCTACAATTTAATCGAGGTACAGAAGGTCCAATGAACAAAATGGTCCCAATATAGAAGTTTTGGGTTTTTGTAGTTTTTTTTAAAATTTATTTAATTGATGCCTCAAGGTCATAATTGAAGAAGAACAGTTCAAGGAAGAAAGCAAGAAGCTTGCAGCTCACCTTGCAGATCCTGAAGTGGAGGTCAGCCTACTAAAGATAAGCTTTAATTGTTTACACCTTGCTAAAATTGAGCCTATTGCTGTACAGGTTTTATGATTTTTTGGCTGGATTTTCTATTGAAGCCTTTTGACCTGAGTGATGCCATTGTTTATGAACCTTGGGTGACTGACTTACTTATTTGTGAACAGTGCAACTGATTATCATTGAAAATTCATTTTTCCTGGTATTTACAAATTCAGGTAGATACATAATTGCTAATGAATGGGAAGGTCATTTTGGAATATAATGATAAGAATATGATCCAAGTGTTTTCATCACTTCCATTTCGATTGCTACTAAGATTGCAACCTTTTAACTTCATCTAATGTTATGCTGATAAACAATTTATCTGCTCTTGTTACTAGTTTGTGGAACTTTGCTCATCCTTCAATTTGATATCTTTTGCTTTTGTGGTATGTAGAGGGAATGGAAAAGGTGTATAATAGTTTTAGAATCGCTTCTTCGTGCCATTAATGAACTTGTATGTTTCAGATACGATTACTATACAAGGTTATCTGCTATCTTATCTCATGGTTCTTTTCCTCGAAAAATGCCAAGCCAATGGAGTCAGATGTTCTTACTGACTATCAACATGTCTTGATCCTTATATTCTTCTTTTTTCTCCTTTCCCTGGGAGGTTTGCGGGGAGCATCTTTTTTGGTGTTTCTGCAATGTGACAGTGTCAAAGCAATTGGTCTAGCGACACAAATTAAGCCCAAGCTGGAACTAGCTCTTAGATTCTTTCCTCATTCTTGATCTGCTCATGTTCATAGGACCTATAATCAGTTTAATATCATTCTATACACTAACTCCAAATGGAATATGTAACAGGGAATATATGAAACAAATGTGCCTTTGGAGTTTAACGCTATCCTTCAGCTTGGCTGTGTCTGTAAAGTAGATAAGAAAGCCAAAAGGCGAAATGGTCAAGATAGCTGGAGTATGAGTGAACTGCACATGAAAACAACAACTGAGTGCTCATATCTAGAACAATCACTGTCTTTCTTCTACTTGTATCACAGGTAATTGCTATACACTAACATGTTTTGCTGCTCTACTCTAAAGTATATATCTGAAGGTCATACTATTGTAGTATGAACATGGAGTTGTACTTTCAGAAATGCATAGGTTGCTTATATAAATATATCAAGTCCAAAGACATGTCTGTTGCACTTAACCTGCTGCAATGGCTTAATTTTGTAGTAAAAGCTGGTGTAGTAAAAGTATTTGTCAATGGTTTCTTCTTGTATGTGCACAGGGAATTTTGTTTGTCTGCTTCAATATTTTCTGAAGGACAAAGAATATTGCAAACATGAGAAAGCTGATAATTGATCTAGCTGTCTGTTAGTAGCAATAGTTGCTTGAAAAAGGCAGTCAATTTGAAGAAGCCAAATATGACTATGATTTTAGGACTTAGTCTTTTATAGGGAGAAAAAAAATCTTATGGTTGTTTGTTTGCCTTTAACTTGAAGAGCATGATAGATATCAAATGATAATTTCTGGTCATTGTTGTGGTTGCTTTGCATCTTAAAGGAATACATGATGCATTTCCTCTTGTATTTCATATGTGTTGTTATCTGTGCACTACCTCTATATTATAATATTCACACAATTTATTTGATATCGTGTTTCAGTATTTCTGAGGCAAGAGCAATATACGTTGGGTATTTTCCTGCATCTAGATTAATATCAGTACTGGTGGTTAATCCCTTTCAGAACAAAGAACTATCACCTCAAATTCTTGAAAGACTATTTCGAGAAGCTTGCCAGGCATTATCTTTTCAACACCCTAACTCAGCAGAAAGAATGAGTTTCAAGGTGAACTTCTTTTCTGCCCATATGATAATCTTTCTCTGCATCTGACTATTATCATCATTGAATGTGTGCTCTCATTCAGGTAGAGTATGTTGGACATGTCAAGGATGCTGAGAAGAACATGCAAAGAATGATAAATGACTACAGGTTTCTTTTTATTATTTATTATTTTTCCTCTTTCTGTTTTAATTCTGTTCATTGTCCCACTAATCCTTAGTGTCTTGTTTACTCAATCTTCTAATTCTAGCACCTTCTTGCGTGTAGGTTGTTCTGTAAACTCAGAGTACTTTTTGCAACTTTATATGTTTGAGTTGTTTTGGAAAATTCAAGCTAGTAAAATTGATTCTTTCACAAAAAACTAGATACTGACTAGTGTTGGATGGAAGTTTAAAAGTTGATAGTGATTGCTGTCTGGGAGGAGCTATTCTGAGTACCTTCTGTAATGTGTATAAAATTGTTTCTGGTGATGCATCATAAAAAGTTTCTGTTTTCTTTAGACCTTTTATGAGGTTTAATAATAGTCCGTTATAGAAGGAAGAGCATTAATACTGAAAACCATTTTGCATCATAACATGTGGAGGTTCCTAGAAAAAGATTAATTGCTGTGTCATTTAGATAAAATGTTATGGAGATCTAAGCTACAAAAACTATGCTGTATCGATGTTATCTATTATTTGAATCATTTTATTTTGCATAACAATTTGAATCTGAAATGAATATCCTGTTAATTTAGCATGGTAACTTATGTCCATATTCAGAGTATAACTTAGCCTGTAACATGGTGTGTGGAACATGAAACAAAGAATTAGAAGAATTTTTTTTTTTTCTTGTACTTCATCATTCTTCTCATCATCCAAGCCCCTATTCTATCCGCCCCCAACAACCAAAGCCCTTGAATGCCTTGGAATCTCGGTGGTTCTTTCTTTTGTTTGGAGTCATAGTTTTAAGTTGGCTGACCTCCATCTAGTTTAATTCTAGTACACTACATAAGTTTTAAAACAAAAATCAACTAGGCAAAGTAGAGCTTCAATAATCTTGGTTTTAGAAAATTGCTGCTGGTTTGTCCACAATTTTATAAACTGGATTAGTACATTTTAGTATCTGGCATTGTTGCTAGATAAACTATTTAGCAGATCCATTGTAGTGTAAAAGATCCAAGCTACTCAAGTTTCCCCTTCTTTGACTGATTGCTCAATACTTGATCAGGATAGTCCTAAAGAACATGCCTACTTGAGATCAGTTATGTATCTCATTGAGAAATTAGACTATGCTTGTTCAAAGCCATGTGCTTAAAAGTTGTCAGAAGGGTAAGAACATGCATCCAGGCCCCAAGATGCACTTGAAGTGCCTCTGGCCATGGTATTACATAATTTGGTAATGGTGCATACATCTGTGCATAAGCCTGGCACAGGAGGTGCTTATGTTGCACCCACCCATTTTAAATTCCTAAAATGTTTTCTTCTGAGTTTGTTGCTTGTAACTAGTATTGTAACCTGGTAGATGCTTATATGGAGTCACAACTTGATTGGTCTAACAAGCTGAATTATTTCCCTAACATGCACATGTGTTGCATTTGTTAAAGCAAACACGGGACATTAAAAAGTACTTAACCATCCTTCAGTGCTATGACACTTGCTCTATGGTCATTGGACGCTTATGGCTAATAAATTATGAGCAGACGGATCCAAAGAATAGAATTGGTCCTTTGGAAAGCCTTCTACTTTCATGCTGGTGGACTCAATAAAGTCATGTCTACATATGCCATCTTTTCATCTGCCTATGGTTGTCTATCTGTTGATTTAGCAGTTCATTTCTCTTTTCTGGATGGTTTTGAATTACTGCTGCAAATGCTTTAACTATTTGGTTCGTGTTTTGAAACTAATTGGTAGAGATCGACATCCTGGGCCTGTAATTGCTGTGATTGAGTGCCCAAATTCTGATTTGCTGAAGTCTAATATACAAGCATTAGATGATTTTCCTTGTGTGAACATTCCTTCCAATGCTCGTGATAGTCAATATCAGGTAACACAGTGAGCTGTTGCTTCAGTAGACATTTCTTGGTGACTTTATTGCTAGCATTCAATTAACAAAGAATGTTTGATGCTTTTCTCTTTAGGCTCTTGGGTGGCAAATTGTTGCTGCAAAAATTGGGATGCATCGATGTGCAGCATCTTCTCAGTGGTTGAAAGAGAGAATCACTCTTTCACGTTATGCTCATGTAAAGTGTCTTTACCATTTAGCATTTATACTGTGTTCATCTGTATAGAAGTGCTTAAAAGTCACATTTAGCAGGTACCACTTGGAAACTTGGAAGTGGATTGGCTCCTACATACAGCAGATATCTTCTTCTCAAGAGCTTTACGTGATCAGCAACAGGTTTTCCTTGATTTACATAATTCTTTGATTCTGTGCCTGATTCGATACTTTTAGTTCTTATCATGATATTTTTGTAGTTAATGTTTCTTAAAATTGAGAACATGTAACCTTTGCCACATTGTGTTTCAAGTACTGGGTGTCAATAGTACTTGGTTGAATTTAGGCTACCTAAGCTGTTTGTGTTCCTGTTTATCTTCTAGGTTCTTTGGATATCTGATAACGGCATCCCAGACCTTGGAGGCGTGAATGAAGAAATGTCAAGCTTCATTGATGAAGTTAGTTTGCAATAAAAAGTCTATTCTTCTCTTCCTTTCAATTCCTTTTCCAAGGGTTTTCTGGGGGTGGGGGTGGGGGACTTTTACCACCATTTTTAATGTCACTGCAAAGTTGTGAAGTTCCTTCCAGTGCTTTCGTCTGCTAAATACTACTACTTGAAAAATAGGTGAATCAACCAATTCTCAACTACCCTGGCGCGTATAGGAAAGTTTCTGTGGAGCTTAAGGTCCATAATATCTCTGTTTATACTCTCTGTTCTATTTTCTTTCTTTTTTTGTTGTCACGCTCTTATATGTTGTTTTAACTATTACTGCTTTTCAGATTCATCACCTGGCTGTTAATGCTCTTCTGAAGAGCAACCAGATAAATGAAATAGAAGGAGGTACTCTGTTTGGACTGGACCAAGACCTGAATCCTGCTACTAAATTTCCAGATGAGCAATATTGCTTTGATGAGGTGACTTCATGTGCACCTGCATTTCGTGTCCTCAAACAGTTGATTCAAAGATGTCTGGCAGATGCAGTTACATCTGGAAATGTATTTGCTGATGCAATGCTGCAACATTTATACAGATGGCTTTGCAGGTATATACTTGTTGCAATTGGGCCATTCCTTTTTGCCCTTTTTCGCTTTTACGGTTTCATAAAACCTTGTTCATTTACACTGCAGCCCAAAGTCTAAACTACATGACCCAGCTATCTATCGCATGCTACATAAGGTAATCACTGGTACAGAAATATATTTGAATTCTTTAGAGGTGCGATCGAAGGAGTCCATTATTCAACAATTCTTTTGCACCAGAAATTCATTTACTATTGCCCCCCCCCTCCCCGGCCCCCTTTTTGCAATTGTCTTTCCATTTCTCTAAGCTTATCCCCCATAAGTTGTATTAAAACTAAGCTTCAGGTCTAAGAAACATATTTCTTATCAAAGCCTAAGTTGCTGATGAGGAAAGTTAATTTCTTATGCATTTCAGGTTATGCAAAAGGTTTTTGCATTACTAGTGGCTGAGTTTCGCAAACTGGGTGCAACAATTGTGTTTGCTAGTTTCTCCAAAGTCATTATTGATACAGGAAAGTTTGATCTATTAGCAGCAAAAGCTTATTGTGATAGTTTGCTCAAGACTCTGCAGACTAGGTTGGTTGGTCTTAGACTCTTGCATGTCATTCGCATTCCAAATTGATGTTGGCTATCTGCTTATTCTTGTACCTCTCTTGGATTTCTATGTACAGAGACTTATTTGAGTGGATAGAGTTTGAGCCTTTGCAGTTCTGGCACTCCTTCCTTTTCATGGATCAGGTAGCTTCCCTACTCTGGATCTTCCCCCAGACTGTCATCATGATTGTCATTGTTGCTGTTGCCTTTTTGAATTGTCTACTGTTTTTGTATGCATATCATTTTCCTTAAAAGTGGGAACAAAGTTTCATAGTCTTAAGAGAGTTTCAAGATGAGAACCATGTGAATTCACTGCTTGCTGATCTATAAGGGAAGATGAAAAAGAGAGTTTGTCCTGATACCAAGTAGTGATAAGGGATTTATGGGACATAATTGGTAAAGATTATCCAAAAACAAAGGAAGAGTATTGATAGCACTAAAACATATGTTGTCAAGGGAAGATTTCATTCGAACTTGCTGCTGAGTTTCTTTTCACTTTCTTTTTTCTGTTTGTTCACTGTGCTGTCATAGTACAATTATGGCGGAATTCAAGCTAGTTTTCAAGATGAGTCGTCTAATGACAAAGCAAGACCAAGTGATGTTAGCATACAAAAGGAATCTGAGGTGGAGATTGTGTCAAGTTGGAATATTGCTGAAAACTTGCCGAAGTTGACTCAGGTAGGTTTGTTTTCGTCTAAAGTTGACTGCAGCTTTAATTATTCTAGCAGTACTGGTCCAAAATTTTGTAATGCTGTTAAACTTTTCAGTGCATACAGTATCATCTCCTGATATTCTATGCTGTTATACATTATATTCCCTTTTTTTTTGGCAGGACCATTTCATCTTGATTGTTTCTGAATTTATGTATATGCCATGGAAATTTGCACAAGAGCAAGCTGCTAAACGAGCATGTCTGGTGGATGGTGACTTGTGCACTCCATCAATCACAGCTGCTGCTGCTGAAACTTTTGACTTACAGATGACAGAAGATCTAAAGAACAAGGTATAACTTTTTCAATCAGTCTTACTGGTGGTGAAATTTTGTGGTTCAATGTCCAAAAAGATATCAGATTGACTTTAGTTATTTGTATATCTTGCAGATTAGATCTTACTTCACGGACAAGCTTCTAAAAATTGTTTGTGATCCCAGTCTTCTCATGAAAAGAAAGTCTCACGATCAACAGAACATCATGAATACAAATACACAACCTTTGGAGAGTTGCCATCTGGGCGATCCTGCATTAGAGTTCATTAAGTATGTTTCCACAGTTTTGGCTCTTGACCAGAGTGTTCAGCATGAGGTTCTGGTAATGCATATCTTTCAATTATCCAATCTTGCAGTAATCATCACAAATCTTACTGTTTATGTTTACTAAGTCTATTTTCTGCTCGAAAGATGGAAAGCTTCCATGTTTTTTTTGAAGTATTAGTTAATTTATCCATGACTATTGAAATTATTGGGTTTAGGCATTAGATATTGTTGTTGATTTCATTCATGCACAAGTGATCTTTTCAAATTGTAGTGTGCTATCTGGCACCAGCTATTTTCCCACTATTTTCTGCTCCCTGATGTTCTCAATAGTAAGAGCCTTTTTCTGACGAATCTTGTAATCACTGTTGAGCAGATCATGAGGAAGAATCTGCTTAAATTTGTCCGTGTGCGAGAATTTGCACCAGAGGCTGAATTTTACAATCAATCTCCATCTTTCACTCTACCAAATGTCATTTGCAGGTATAAACAGTAAGAGTATCTATATACTAGTCATCGGTCATGGGGCTGAATAGAAAATTTCTGTGAACTTTTTGGCATGTGTGGCGATAGACCAGTCTCTGTTGAAAGCATTGATTTGCAAGGTTAACATAAACAAACAATTCAGTTGTAAAGAACTTATCTGTTCGTTTTTTTTTTACTTTATTTGTTAATGTTGGTTTATGTGCTATTTTCTGTGCAATCTTTTCTCATTTGAATTATATATACGTTTCTCATTTCTCTACCAATATTGCCAGCTATTGCAACGAGTGCAGAGACTTAGATTTATGCCGTGACAGAGCTTTACTAGGTCAGGAATGGCGTTGTGCCGTGCCTCAATGTGGGCAACCTTATGATCGCGAGCTAATGGAGAATGCTCTTCTACAGATCGTAAGGCAGAGAGAGCGACTCTACCATCTGCAGGACTTGGTATGCCTCAAGTGCAACCAGATTAAAGCTGCACACTTAGCTGAGCATTGCTCATGTGCTGGGTCATTTAGGTGCAAGGAAGATGTCTCAGAGTTCCGTAACAAGATGCAAGTTTTTCTAAACATCGCACAGGATCAGAAATTTCAGCTACTTCAAGAGTGTACTTCCTGGATCTTGGAAGTCAGTCAGTTTTGGTGATGAGATGTACCTTATCCTGTGAAACAAACTTGGGATGCAAAGCAACTGTCGAATACGTGTGAAACCTGCGAGATTTACAAGGAAATTGCTGGTTTCTGGGACATGCAATCTTTCATGCAACAGGAGCAGCGCCCAAGGATGACATGCTATGGGGTGGCTTGGCTGTGGTATCGGGTTTCCACCAAAAGTCAGAGACTGGGCGGCACCCATGGCGTGCAGAGGTTTGCTCTGAAATAAATTAAATTCCGTGCTCGGCTTACTTGGCTCCTACCAGTGTTATTTATGCACCTTTTGTAGCATTGCATTTTACAGCAGATTATTGCTGGTAAAGCCAAATGCCCGGAAGTCAGAGAGACCATTGAGATGTGGGTATTGAAGGGCCAGCCAGGGATGGAGGAGAGGAATCGAATGTAAATAATTTCTCAGATCTCCCATGTATATGGAAGAATTAATATACATCCACCCATATGCTACATATACGCTTTTGATTTGGCAACTCGAGTAAAGCATCAATTAATGCATCTCTCAACAATGAACTGGATACAAGAGTAATAGCACCACTCATTTGCTAATAAATTCCTCACCCTATGACTACCCTACAAAGCTGCTCACTTTTAACTAAAAATTGATTCGAGAAAATAAGGCCTTCCTTCCAGAGTATGAATAACGAGTTAACGACGCCAGTTTACACAGCTACAACTAAGTTAATGCCTACGGAAAAGATCACCGAGGCTAGGACGGGTCCCCCAGAATACTTCCCACGCACAGGTTCTAAAAGCAAGTTAAGCCCGTGCAAGAGATTGTTCTGTTTTGATTTTGATGCTCACAGCAATTGGATCCTTCTATTCTCAAGGAAGTCAAATTCCACATTCATGTCCACATTCAAAGCAAATGCACAATATTTGCTTTGAATTTCACCAGAAAAACCATCTTCTCTTGGTGTTTGAATCAGGAACTATTTCGTTCTTGTTCTGGTTTTCCATTCCTTGCTTCAGTGCCTCAAGCCTTTTCCTGCAATCAATTTAGAAAAAGTTTACAGGTCACTCAACAGAAAAGATCAGACAAAACTATGTGCTTTAGCTCCTCAAAAAAAGTCAGTATGACCCCGGAGAGAAGAAAACAATAGCAGGCAAATGACTGGAAACAATAAAGCAAAAGGCCAAAGTCATTCTTAAACCCAAATAAAGAAAGAACATAACATCAGGCCACAAGCTACAGGGGATGATGGGTAACAAATCTAATCCATAGATGAAGCAGATGAGGAACCATCCCAAACCTGTGATATAATTCACCTATCAGCACATGCATCTGGAAGAAGTTCAGGGACGTAGTTTCCAGTTTGATTTTACTTCCATCCCCACAATCTCATGGTGCTAGTTAACAGTAGCCACACTATTAAAACAAAATTTTGGTACAAGGCTAGTGCTAGCTTACAGTTGGCACAATATTGTTTTATTTAGAAAAAATACACATACAAGGCTAGGTAAGTTATTGGGCACCTCTAATAGTGCCTTAACCAATATCTACATTCCACCTGACTCCTGTATTAAGAATTGGTGGCGTTTTACAGACTCTCCCTCTCTAAGACACACGGACACATTAAGAAACACATACACACACCCGGGAAAAGCATACACACATGCATGCACACACACATGTAGCATGTGCCAGCACAAATGAAGTGAAGAATCTACCAACTCAGAAGCACTACATAAGCAGTTAAAGCATCTGAAATGAAGTATGCACCCTAAGGAAGAACCACATACAAAATGCTCAAATAACAGAAACCACAAAATACGTCATAAGAATGACGAGTTTGCAGTTTAAAAGAATTGATGTCATAAAAACGCAGTTCTTATATAATGAAATCGACATTTAGTGGTGCTCGGGCTAGTCTAACCCTCATCCAAACATGCAAGTCCACTTAGTAACTATAAAGATCCCAGAAGACAAATAACTGTGGTCTTGTCATTCAATTAAGTGGTTTAGACCTCTACCAAAAAAAAAAAAGAAAAAAGAAAAAGATACCATGCTTCAATGTAAAGTCCAAAAGCAAGTATAATGCTCTAAATTACTTGATCCGTGCAAATGGAAAAGTAATTCTCATTACTTGGTATCAGTAAGGCGACCATGTAGACTCCATCTCTCACGAAACCCTTCCACGCCTTCTGTTCCACTTGCCAAAATCAGTCGTCTAAAAAACAAGGAAACAATAATAAGGATCTACAAGTAATTCTTTGACAAGACAATGTGTAAAAGTTGTAAAAAAGCCAGGCTTCTGCTGATTTCATTTTCTTTCCCGTTGTATTCTTATTCTCATTTTCCTCAGAGCTATAAGTGATAAGTCCATTCCTTGAAAACAATATGGTGGATGAGCAAGTCAATCAATTAAAGACAATAGAAGGCATGCAGAAGAAGTTACAGATGGTAAACAACTATAGACAAGGTAGTGTGGAAAATAGCTAAATTTTGACAGGTGCTAATCAATTTCATAATGGCTCTTTTCTTTATAAAATTCTGATCCAAGTCAAAGGTGAATCACATCTATATAATTGTGAGTCCAAAAGCTAGTTTGACAACAAACACGAGTCTAATTGAAACGCATTCTCCCAAAACAAATTTAGACTTCAAATTTGTGGCCTCATATTTAACTGAGAAGGCTACATTCTTTCCCACATCCCTGTTCAATATTAGACCAAAACACAATCTATTACTCAATACTAGACTTCATAATTATGTACAGAGTATCACCATCCTTGGTAAAAGAACAATACTTCAGTCCTGCCCCCATCAGTTGCCAAAAGACCATGGAGACATCAGAAAATTTACAGAATAATACGAACTTCTGATGTTTTGATAAAATTTAAAAAATTCCATTACCAAAGGAACAAGTTACAAAGATGTTCTTCGCTATAACCAAACCATTCGCTGCTAGATGTATATTACCTCTCCAACAATGTCACTTCTGATTCCAGCTGGGTAGATCTTTCCTTAGCTTCTTGTAAGGGCATTGACATCCCTAACTTACGCTCACTATCTTGAAGCCGTTGTCTCAGTTCCTTGTCCTGCAAAAAGAAACCTCAATCGAAGCAGTTCATAAATATATTACAGGCAGAACACCTCAGACATTTATTTCTAATAGACTAACACTATACCATGCAGGAAGCAACAAAATCAAGCACATAGTCAAATATACTCACCCTTTTCTCTGCACATTGCCGGTAGAGAGCAATCTCATCCTGACAGAAAGGTTCAATATCATTGATCTGCAAGCCTATAGCATAAAATCAAATGATAGAGGATAAACATCATTGAACATGCCCAAATGCCTAAAAGAAAGGCCAAGGACGAAACTTACACAAGAATAAGTTCCTCAAAATTCCATCACATAAATCCACACCTTCGAGCACGTGAGATGCGATTTCTGGGGGAATGAATGGTGATGGTGGCCCCATCATCAAGTCATCCCCAACCAGAATGGTCTCCTCCATAGTTGGCTGTGCATCGACTAGAAGCCCCACAGAGAAAGTCAATCAGCAGAGGCATTACTCCATTTCATTTACATTACAGTCAAACATGCAACGCATTGATCAGAATGCTCAAAGTAACAGCACGTTGCCATCAGAAGATAAAAGGCCCCAGCCAAAGTCTTATGAACTCCGATACTTCTACCACTTAAAACCAAAAAAGAAAAAGAAAGAGTATGCAATGATAATAATGATTAGCATCATAACTATTATCACCAAAACTAGCTTTCCACTTGAAGTTTCAAGTCCTATATACATAAGAAAAAGGGATATATTCCCATTTCTATACTCTATTGTCTAATTATCTGTCAAATTAAGTTGATTGGCACATTCAAAATACCAGCATTGTTCCTTTCCCTGCAACCAGTTTAAACCAAAATAAAAAAAGAAAGAGAAAAATAATCAACTAGATAGCTCTTTTTTAAACGAACTCGCACAATCACAAGTAAAAGATGGCTTAGCTAAGTGCATTTCTCCTTCCTTCCTCAGCCAACTGAAACAACAGGCAACCCTCCAAAGCCGACAATGAATAGTACACAGATACATCTAATATACAGAAATGGATAGTAACAGCAAATAACAACACTGAACCTTTCCCCAAAGCCTCGTAACCCTCGAACACCTACAAAAAGTTGAACAGAAGTGCATACATGCATGCTACAACGGAGGCTAAGTTTAAATTCTCTCCACAACGAACTTAACTATTTTCACTCAACAGAACTTGTATCAGTATCACCATCGTCTCATCATCCATACTCTCCAATAGAATTACTATTTTTTTCTAGATTGAACATTGCAAACCACTGTGTCTGTAGTTTAATTTCAAAACAAAGATATCAAGTTGCTAATGTAAAGAGGGCTCAGGGACAAACCATCCATGATATGGGTTTCTTTCTTTCTTTCTTTCTTAGCTTTTTCAGCTGGGTTGATTGATTCTTGAAACTCCGACGAGGAGTTTTAGTGATATTCTTGAATGCCTAGAAAGTTCTGAGGCATAGCAAATTAGAACTAAAATGACAAAAATAAATGGTATGAAGTCACCAAAAAGAGAGATATTTGAAAAGGCTGGGCTGTGTTCGTGGTCAATTTGGCAGGAGGTTGGCCTTGCCGGCAGTGGCTGGGAGAGAGAAAGACGGCTGCTTGGGGTGGCCGTCGGTTTATATGTTTTGACAATGTCCTACCATTAGGGAATGGCACACCTATATGTGGTAAATCCGAAAGAAAAAAATTAAAAAAAAATATTAATTGTTAAAATTTTTAGTAGTTATTGGAGGTTTTGTCTTAGAAATATGGATGGAAGAATGCGTTTGGATTAGCCCTTTTTTGAGGTATTTTTAAAAAAGTTTACTGTACTAGAGTTTTTATAGTATATTTTAGAATTATTTTAAAAAATATTTTGGAATATTTAAGAGTAGAAAAGTTTTCAAAATATATTTTGGGATATTTTTTAAATATTAAAAAAATTTAGATTACTTTTTAGAGTACCTTTTAGAGTATTTTTTTAAAATTTTAATAGTATTTAAAAAACTAATTTTTGAAAAACTCAGCGATGGCAATTATTGCCTCGTTAAAAGTTTTGTTAGGCTAATAAAGTGGGGGGTATGTGTGTGTTTGTGCATCTTTATTGTAGTGATAGTTACGTAGAGATAGTTTAATAGATAAGATGTGGATAGATAATAATGAATATTGGAAGTGCATATTTGGTAAACTAATTAATAACATTATTTTTTTACACCAAATTCTACTCAAACTTATATATGGAAAGATACTAGGAAAATTTTATGTACTAAATTGAATTCCAAAACTCTCAATCGAATTAAGTTTTATTACTAAATTGTACAAGTATTAAATTGATTTAAAATTACTTGAATTTAAAAAAAATTGACGAGGAGAGATGGGATTTAAACTCAAAACCTCTAATTTCTTATAATCTCAATCTTGAACATTTGAGTTATTTTAAAACTACTTGAGTTATTTTTGTGTTTATAGTTAAATTAAATTCAATTTCTAAACGGAACTCCTTAATAGAAATATGCATTCTGACTCTTGATTTTCTAAACAAACCGCTTTCAATATTGCACCCCTTTTGGTATAGCAGCTAAGGATTTGCTGATCCAAGTTGGATCAATTAATAAGAACGGACACCTCTTCACAAAATACTGTATGCTCGATTCGCGCTGCGGATGTGAAAATTTTGTTAGTGAATGATTTGTAAAAACTTTATAATTTCGAGAGCATGCCTTCACCCGCACTGATGATTGAAGTTGAATTCACCTAAACTTCAACTTATATATATATATATATATATATATATATATCTACCAACTAGATAAGAGAACAATTGAAGTTCTCCATTGAATGCCAAGTGTCACTATATTGTTAGAGAAAGGAGTTTGTTTTCTGGTTTTTTTTGGTTTTTTTCTACCAAAAAGTGAGAAATGTCTATTTCAGGCATGGTCTTCAAATTCAAAGTCTTAATAGTTCCTTACTATTTAGGGGCTAATTGGTAACAATGGTTTAATTATTTGCATTTGTTCCTTTTGTTTGGTTTTTAATTGATGTGAAAGGTCAATTGAATCCTTTTATGAAAACTAGCTCATTAAATAGTTGCTAACTATTTAAGATTATTTTTGTATATTTGAAAATATTTCTTTTATAATTTTCTGATCAAGTGCAAGTAATTATAGACTATTTGTGGGCCCTTTTATCACATGGGCTGTTTTGAATTAGATTATATGATTAATTATATAATTATATAAATTAATGGAGTTATGTCCGTTAGAAGTAATGTGCTTGCCCGTTAGTATATGACTGATGACTGATGATGAAGTTAGTCAACACCACCTTAATGGTCTTATTAGTCATTGAACTTCCTTCTTCTTGATTTAGCCAGAATTCCCTTCTCCTTCTTTTCTGTCGAATAGCCTTTTTCGTTCTCTCGATTGAATAGGTCGCTATACTATATCGGCCTGCAAAACTTTCAGTTTCTCACCAATTCCTTCAACAACTAAATTGTCCTTCACTTTGATTGCAACCCAGAAAATCCTCCACAAGCACGTGAAGTTTTGTCCTGCCCCAAAAATTAGGTCAGTAAAATTTCTTTTCCCCAAAATCTACGACCCTGCAAAATCTTCGATTTTCTGTCAATTCCTCGAGCAACTAATTGTACTTCCTTTCGATTGCCTCTTAAAAAGTCGCCCAATTCGCGTCAATTCTTTTTTTGCCCCAAAAAACAGCTCACTGAAATCTCTTTTTCCCCAAAATCAGCTCATTTTAGGGATGGCTGCTCTACCGACTTATGCTATGATACAGCTTTCAAAATCTACTATTCCCAGCCCTATATATACTTTTGTTTCTCAGTTTTGCCGGTCTTCAGCAGACGAGTGAAGAAAATCTAGGTATTTTCTATTCTGTGTCTTTTTATTTTGACCTGCAATTTTTTAGTTTGATGAATGTTCTTACCTTCTGTTTATTTATTGCCTTCCGTTAATTAAAGACTGCCATGTCTTTTATATTATGCATAAAAGAATAATTATGATGCTAATTTTTCGATTAGCTTACGTTTACTTTTTCCTCTATTTTTATATTAATTTCAAATGGTGCCGGACTTTTGCCAACATTCAGGCGAGCAAAGAAAATATAGGTATGTTTCTATTTTCTTGCCTTCTGATTTGAACTGCAATTTTTTTCCCACTGTTGTTGCCTCTGTTTATTGCTTTCTCTTAATTATAAGAAACGCGATGTGTTTGATGTTATGCTATGATGGTTTACTTTTCCCTCTGTTTTTAATTTCAAATGTTGCATGATGTTGTTAGCTGTTTATCTATTCAATAATTACATCATTTAGTATCATTGTACTTCGGGTTAGCTGTTTGATCTTAAGGTTGTCATTTTATATATATTAGTTAGTTTTAGCTATTCTAAGATGCTTTGATTCTGTCATTTTGTGTGCCTTTGGTTTAGTATCTTGCTTTGTTTATAGTAAAATTAGATTTTGATGTTCTGTGTTTCAAAATGAAGAAAAAAAGAAAATTTAGTACAGGTTTTAGATTGATAGATGAGATGTTTGATGATTCCCTTGATCTAACAATGTTGGAAAGAAACAAAAAGACAAACTTAAATATGGTGACTGAGCATATGAAGTTTACTCTTGATTCTTCTGTTTCTCAACCATATTCTCCTTTTGTAATCAACTGTGAGAATGACATGCGTGAAAAGCACTCTGTTGAAACATGTGCTTCACAAAATCACATCGATAGGAATGCAATTCTGCCAAATGACTGCAGAGGTAAAAATGTTTACTTTCCTCCAAAAAATACTGGAGAAGTTCAGTATACCTCTGATTCTACTGACAAGCATTGTTTGCCTACAATGAATTCATCTTTAATCAACCTCTGTGATGTTGAACCTGCTGGTTCGTCACAAGTGAACTGCAATGAGGAACCATTTGTTATAGAAAATCAGTTTCAGAGTGAACAAGTTGCAAACGTTAAAGGAAAAATTAGTTATTCTGAAATATCAAATCTAGATATGGAACTAGCTAATTATATTCCTGCCCTTTCTGTGAATAGGCATATACCTATAATAGGTAGTACATCTGTTATATCTTATGATAAGAGACCTCTTGAATATTCTGAAATATATCATGAAGAGGTGATAAATAAGAAAGAATATAGGAGACAGGCCTACTTTAGATGGAAACAGAAAAAATTGAGAGGAAAATCTAGATCAATTGGTTCTTATGATAAGAGCCCTCTTGAATATTCTGAAATATATCATGGAGAGGTAATAAATAAGAAAGAATATAGGAGACTGGCCTATTTTAGATGGAAAAACAAAAGATTGAGAGCAAAATCTAAATCTATTGCTTCTACAAATATAATTGAAAATCGAAGAAGCATCACGATTGTGAATGAGTGTTCTTCAGTTGTTGATGTTCAGCGTACTTCTCGATCTCGTTCGAAACATCGCAGATCATCTCTGAAAAAAACTCAGCCAGGTCTATAGTTAATACTTTTAAGTTTTCTAATATCTGTTTTTAAACTAGCATTAAAATCAATTGAATGATTTGACTACTAAGTGCTCTAAAATAATTATATTTTAGGAAGAGGGTGCAAAACAGGAAGAGCTTTGTTGGATATAATTCCTGACAAAGCTGATATCCTACCACGCCAACTAGATTGTCCTCATTGTGGAGCGAAGAAGTTTTTTTCTGAGACAGCATATTTTTGTTGCCAAGATGGTGAAGTTGTTCTAGCTCAAAATAAAATTCCAGATATCTTTAAGGAGCTATTGACTTCATCTTCACAAGAGGCACAATCTTTTAGAACTCTTATTAGAACGTATAATAATCATTTTGGATTTACTTCCTTCGGTGTTAAAGCTGATTTGACTCTCTCAAAAAGGAATAAAGGAATTTACACTTTTAGAATTCAAGGACAAATATATCATTTTCTGAATGATTTCAATTCAAGCAATGGCCATAGTAATAATTTACAGTTATATTTCAATGATTTTGAAGCTGAAGTAAGCAATCGATTAGCAGCTTGTCCTAGATTATCTGAAAATGTGATTAGAAAAATTATGCAAGTTCTTGAGTGTAATCCATATGCAATTTTTTTTAGAAATTTGAGAGAGGTACCTAATTTAGATAACTACTACATTGTGTTAAAAACTCTGCCCGGTGTTGATCAAAGAGTTTATAATCGACCAACAACTTCACAAGTTGCTGGTTTATGGGTTGAGGGGCAATAAAATGGAGAAACCGGCGGACGTGATATTAGAGTTCATACCCATAGTGGTGCTTCAAAAAATATACAGTACTATTATGGATGTTATGATCCACTCCAATATCCAATACTTTTTCCTTTTGGTGATCTTGGCTGGCACCAAGGAATACCAAAGGAAGGAGCAAAAGTATATGGAAGAAAGAGGAAAAAAAAACAACCTGTAGCAGATTTGATTTCCCCTGCAAATGCTGCTACAGCAGAACAATTAATCCAAAATGAAGAATATGGTTAGTATAATAACTATATACCATGATATTTCATTTTACATATTTAATATTTATAATGATTAGACATTTAATGATGTACTATTATTATTTGTACAGCAATGGAAAGCATACATGAAGATCCAAATTTTGTGTCCCTTCGAGAATATTATTGTTATAAACTTCAGATTAGGGACAATGATGAATCTTGGTTATTACATTTTGCTCGACTTCTACAACAATATATTGTTGATCAATATGTGAAGCTTGAGACACAAAGACTTGACTTCTATAGATTACAATAAGAGGAAATTAGGAGAGAGTTCTTGAAAGGCATAATAGATGCTTTAGGATCAGGTGAGAGTCAAGCATGTAATGTTGGCAGCGTATCATATTACCACCATCCTTTATTGGAGGGCCAAGAAATATGAGACGTAAATACATGGATGCAATGACATTAGTACAAAAGTATGGTAAACCAGATATATTTCTGACCATGACTTGCAATCCTAATTGGCCAGAAATAAAAGAACAGTTAATAGACAAAGAAGAGGCACAAAACAGACCAGATTTGCTTGCTAGAGTATTTCATGCTAAGTTAGAGCAGCTTAAAGATGAACTTTTGAAAAAATGCATCTTTGGTGAAGTGGCAGCTTACACTTATGTCATTGAATACCAAAAACGTGGACTGCCACATGCACATTTCTTGCTAATTTTAAAGTCAAAATTCAAGATGTATACCCCTGAAGAATATGATAAAATTGTCTGTGCCGAGATACCAAATAAAGAGAAAAATGAACATCTATATAATTTGGTCATTAAACATATGCTTCATGGACCATGTGGTTCACTTGATCCAACAAATGTATGCATGAGAAAAAATGGAACTTGCAAGAATAATTTTCCTAAAAATTTCTGTGAGGAAACTATCCAAACTCTTAATGCATATCCTGAATATCGAAGGAGAGATGATGGAGTTCAAATTAAGATTAAATCAGCTCTTTTAGATAACAGATGGGTTGTACCATACAATCCATATCTTTTGGCTAAATTTGATTGCCATCTTAATGTTGAAATATGCTCTACAATTAAGGCAGTCAAATACATTTATAAGTATATCTATAAAGGTCATGATAGAACTAGCTTCTCTGTAGTAAATAATAAATCTGATTCAGAAATTGATGAAATTAAACAATATGTATCAGCTAGGTGGGTTTCTCCACCTGAGGCAGCATGGAGAATTTTTAGATTCTGTATGAGTGAAATAAAGCCACCTATTATTCATTTACAATTACATTTGGAGAATTATCAGCCAATGACTTTCAAAAAAACGGCTAATCTTCAAAATGTTGTCAATAACTATCATTTGAAGAAAACAATGCTCACTGAATTTTTTTACATGAATAGGACAGATAAAGCAGCTCAGGATCTAAATTGTACTTATGTAGAATTTCCTGATCATTTTGTCTGGTTACCTAAGCAAAAATACTGGAAATTGAGAGAAAGAGGTGAATCAATAGGTCGAATAATGACTGCTCATCCTTCTGAAGGAGAACGATACTACTTGAGATTACTCTTATCAAAGGTTCGATGTCCAATTTCATTTGATGACCTAAGAACCTTTAATGGAGTTCAAGTAGAAACGTTCCAAGAAGCAGCATTAATTCGAGGCTTGTTACAAAATGATAACAGCCAAGAAATTTGTTTACAAGAAGCCTCACTTTTTCATATGCCCTACGAAATGAGGAGACTTTTTGCAACACTTTTGGTTTATTCTTGCTCTAATGACCCAAAGGCATTGTGGCAAAATTTTGAATCTTCTATGTCAGAAGATTTTGCCAAATGTTCAGCAATGACATCTGCACAAGTAAAAAGAAATGTCTTACAACAAATTGATGGATTTTTGCAATCGATGGGAAAAGGTATACATTCGTATAATTTGATTCCCACTGGATTCTCTTATGAAAATATAGAGAATGAAACTCGAGAATTAAGAGCAGAAAGAAACATTATCATTTCAGAAATTGACTTAAATTCAATTGAGCTACTCAATGAAAAACAGAAAAAAGCATTTGTAGTCATATCTGAGAGAATTTACTCAGATAGACCTGGTGTTTTTTTCATTGATGGCCCATGTGGTACTGGAAAAACATTTCTGTATAGAGCTTTGTTAGCTGATGTTAGATCTAAAGGCTATCTTGCTCTTGCTACAGCTACATCAGGAATTGCAGCTTCCATTTTACCAGGTGGAAGGACTGCACATTCCAGATTTAAAATTCCAATAGATATCTTTGATGGTGCAACATGTCGGGTCAGTAAACAAACTTCTTTAGCTGCAATGATCAAAGAAGCAAAACTCATAATCTGGGATGAAGCACCAATGGCTAAAAAGGCAGCAATTGAAGCTTTAGATGATCTCTTAAGAGATTTAATGAATTCAGAAGAAATATTTGGGGGAAAGGTAGTTGTACTTGGTGGAGATTTTAGACAAACATTGCCAGTTATTAGAAAGGGAACAAAAACTGAAATGATAAATGCATGTTTGATAAATTCTCCATTATGGCACAAACTAGAGAAATTGCAATTAACAGAGAACATGAGAGCAAAATTAGATCCTTCATTCACGCAGTTTCTTTTAAAAATTGGAGATGGAACACAAGAAACAGATAAGAATGCCATAGTAAAACTTCCATCTTCAATTATAGTTAACTATAATAATGAGACTGATGCAATTGAAAAGCTAATCAATATTGTGTATCCTGAATTTAAAGATCCTTCAAAGAAACTGCATTGCTCACAAAATAGAGCAATTCTAACTGCAAAAAATAACTTTGTAGATGAAATAAATGATCAATTGATCAAAAAATTTCCAGGAGATTTGACTGAGTACCTAAGCTATGATGAAACACTGAATGAAAATCATCAATCTGAATATATTGATCTTCTGAATACTCTTACACCTAGCAATTTACCTCCACATAGGCTATTGTTAAAATCCAATGCCCCAATAATTCTTTTAAGAAATCTTGATCCTACTGAAGGATTATGCAATGGAACTAGACTGATAATAAAGAGTTTGACCAAGAATGTTATTTGTGCTAAAATTGCAGTTGGTGATTTTTGTGGCAAAGAAGTTTTTATACATAGAATTTCCTTGCAGCCACCAAGTGATGAACAATATCCAGTTCCATATAAGAGAACACAATTTTCAATTCGTTTGTGCTTTGCAATGACAATAAATAAAGCACAAGGCCAAACTTTAGATTTTGTTGGTATTTATTTGAAAGAACCTGTGTTTTCATATGGTCAATTATATGTTGCACTTTCAAGAGCCAAAACAGCTTCGGCTGTAAAAGTACTTATTAGGCCAGCTTATTTTGATGAATCATGCACTGATCATACTAAAAATATAGTATATAAAGAAGTTCTTGAAGCTTCCCAGATTACATTATCAGGTTTTAATATTCATGGCCTGTTTTGTTTTCAACTTTATTATTTTGTTTAATTCACTATCTAATTTCTCTACGAATACAGGCCATCATGCCTAGGCATATATCTTCAGTACTAGACATTCAGAAAGGAGCAGAAAAGTGGACTGTTCTAGCCCAAGTTGTTCACAGAGGCCATGGTCAATTCACTCGTGAAGTTCCACTTAGGCGAATTATGCGCTTTCTGCTCACAGATTCTGAGGTCAGCAAGTACTTTCCTATTTCTCTGCTCATTAATTAAATTCATAGATGAGAACATTTTAGATTCTGTATACGAACATTTCATGATTTGCCTCTTCATTACCACATGGTTGATACTTTCTGAAGCTGAGAATAGGGATGATTAGCACCACTTTTGACATAGTAATCAATGAATTTAGAGCTCTGATATCTTACTTATATCAGCCTGCTCCTGAAGGGAATCTTGTTGTTCATTAAATTTTTCTATCCAGCTAGCAAGTAGGCTTTGTTGGTCCAGAAGAAAAAGAAGAATGTTCTCAATCTGTGACACCAAAAAAAAAAAGAGTGAATGAGAAGTCAATTTTCAAACTTATACCAAAAAATTTTACCTTATACTGAAGTTATTCTTGCATTACAAACCTTTGTTATGAGTATATCACAAACATATATATATGGAATTCCAGTTTACCCTGTTACATTATTGCTTATTACATCTCATAAAAGACACACACACTAAAGAGATAATGGAATTGTAAAAGCTTAAGGGGAGAAAAAATGAATATTTCTGCTGGTCATCAAGACAGGCTGTAGTAGACAGCATGTGGGAGTGTAATATGTTAATTCTCTAAATTTACACAGGACTAATGAACTGTAACAATTGACATACTTATGGCAGTGAACCTTTTCATCTATACAAACCATAGTTTCATCTGCTGATATCAGAACTATAGTTTCATTACAAGTAAATACTCGCCTAACTATTAAAGTATTCATTCCTATAATTTTAATTTCTGTGTCATAAATATAATGTTAGCCATCAACATGATAGTTATAGCTATAACTCATAATATATATAAAATTAACTTTTCCTAATCCTAATCAGGGAACAAAAGTTTGCCTGCTGATTACATTTGCTTAAGAAAAAATCCTTAGTATTCATGTAAGTTTCTAATATAAAACATGCCTGGCTTCCTCTTATGAGTTTAAAGCAAACACATTATTGTGCTTGCTAGAAAAGACCAAAGCCTGGTCAATGATCATAATTTCTTGGTGAATTGTTTTGTTTCTCTCCCTATTGAATAGATAGGTTATGTCTTCATCTGCAAATGATCTGCAGGTAGTTGAACATGAATGACTTTGAATCAATAAGATTGGTGTTGTTGAATCTTTGTTCTATAGCACTTGCTATAGTGTTCAATATACTATGTTGCTCTATCTGCATATCCACAAATACAACTTATAAGCCAGGGATCCATTTCATTTGGAGGATGACCATCATCATAGTCATACAAATGAAATTCCATAAGAATGATAATAAAAATCCAATTAGTGTTAAATAGTTCTATAAGAATAAAAATAAAAATTCAGAATTATGCTTGAAGCTTGAAGAGATTATTTATGAACATCTCTGAAAAGGGGTCGGATAATGCAGTACCAGTAATTCCACAATAGCATAAAATTAGAAGATTGACTTGGGATCTTGCCATTCATGATTTGTTTCTCAACAGTTTCAATAACCTTCTGCTTACTTTGTGCATGAAATAGGTAATTAATTCTTATCTGAGTTTAGATGATATTTGTTACAACCAAAGTTACTGGGAACTAACTTAGTGAGCATACATACTATCATAGCACAACTATAGCTTCATTGTCAGTGTAATACATACAAAACTGACTTTTTGTAATCCTAATCAGGGAACAAAAGTTTCTGTTGTCACCTATGAACAACACATCAAAGTCTTCAGTAAATTTCTCCAGCCTTATCAAAGGTATTATGTTTCCAATGCCATTGTCGTTCCTGCTGACCCAACATACAGAGTTGGGACTTATGAATGCTCCTGGATTTTGAACTACAAGACTTTGATTGAAAACTATGCTGAACCTGTGCCACCTATGTTGCCTTGCATATTTGAGCTGGCAAACTTCTCTGATCTGCACAAATGTGCTGATTCAGATAATCTTTGCAGTAATTTTTCTTACATTATTTTTCTCTTTACTTCACAATCATTTGATATTTTATTGATTCCTTACATTCATATCAATACTTTTATTTCAGATATTAGAGGCTTTGTGATTCAGGCATTACCAGTAAAACAGATAGATCCAGATTCTTCTTCTAGAGACATTATAGTAGTCAATGAAGAGTAAATCAAATCTGAAAACTATCTTCTTATTAAGTCATTTTAGATTAATGATAGTAGTTACAGCTTTTTGTTATACCTGACAGGAAGAAACTGATGCTTATGACTCTCTGGAATGAATTTGAATATCATGAAGGGAGCAAAATAGCAGACATGATTAGCACTGCCCCTCTAATCATAGCTCTACGTGTTAAAGTGACCACATTCAATAGCAAATTTTTCATTATGCATTATGATTTCTTTACTGTGTGTCTTTTAAGTACTTGATGTGTTCTACTACTAAAACATTTCATCATTTTTACAGCTTTGTCATTCACTACTAGGTACTCATCTGGAATTCTGATAAATCCTCCACTCCCAGATGACCTGTCTTTCAGGGAATGGTAAGTATAGTTTTCTTTTTAGTTTTTTCCATAAATTATCAAGTTATTTTACTGATAAATTTTTTATTTGTGTTTCAAACATAATCATTCAGGTTCAGCTTGAACAAGGAAGAAATCAGGAATTTGCTTGATGCTAAAACATACAATGATGCAAGCTGTTTACTTCCTCCTCCAAATGAAGAAGATATCAAAGCAATCAGCAATTTTCAGGCATCATTTCCAGTTGTAAGTGCCATATTATTATTCTAAAATTTTGCTTAAATATAACTATTTTGTGTCTAATTCACATTCAAATACCATTCATGGTTGCCTGCCTCAGCAAAAGGCAGCTTGGGTGCAAGGAACTGTCAAACTTGCATATGGATTCACCAAATATTGGACTACAGCTTGTGCGAATTGTCACAAAATTGTGAATGCTGACATTGACTGGATCATCCACTGTCCTTCATGCAAACAGCAAAGTGAAGTTGAACTCAGGTTAGATCATTAACTTATGCTTCTAAATTAAACATTATTCGCATTTGTTACCATATATTAATCTTAATTCCTCCACTCAATTAAAGGGCTCGCATTCCAATTATTATAACTGATGCTTCGAGCTCAATACATTGCATTATATCTGGAGAAGATGCTGAAAAATTGATTGAGTTCACTCCATTGCAGCTTAAGCAAGCACAAGAAGATGTAAGTATGAATTTTCTGTCTTATATTCAGCCATAAATACAAATATACATAGAAAGGAATTCACTGAACCTAACTAAAAAATTTTTTTGGTGCAGGGCTTTCAAATAGATACTGAACTTAATGATGCCTTGAAAAAGTACACAGTGATCTGTTTTCTGAAATCCTATGAGACTCCTTTCCAAGGTCAACTGCAGAGAAAGAATACTGTCATTAAGGCTTATACTGCAGCTGAACTATCACATCGTCCCCTTCCACTGGAACTTCCAGAAAACACTCAAGTTTCTTCTGCATTTGGCAGCTCATCAGCAAGGCATGCAGAAACATCATCAAAGGATCAATTGTTCACACCAAGCACAAAATTGGTACTTGAAGAAATTGCTGGAGCCAGTTCTTACAAAGACAGCCAGACATCTGCAACCAGTGGAGCAAAAAGAAGCCTTGAGTTTGCAGAAGATTTACCAGCAGACACACATGCTAAACAACCAATAAAGGCTCCTGAAGAGTTTGCCAAAGAACCTGCAAAACCGTATGGTCCACCTGCAAATATCAAAGACAGTCCAGCCAAGAAAGCTAAAGCAAAGGAAGACTGATATGGCCTATTTCTGTACTTTTGTTAAATCTTTTGTTCATTGCCTTCATCCTTGCCTCCATTGCTGAGACAATATCTTTTGAATTATATTATGATCCATTATTCTTTTGACTTAAAAAGTAATGGATCCTAATATACCTATTAATAGTTTAACCACTAATGCTGTACTTTAATAGGCAATGAAGTTTATTTAAGCCTCCTAATATGTAATTGTGGCTAGCACCCAAGTATCTATTCTACTAAGCCATGAATGATTGAGTTTATGTAATGTATTATTGTGATTTGCATAGTATTTACCTCTTCAGCCTATATATACATTATGATCTTTTAGGAAATTATACTCATTAGTCATACCAGTGGGTAGGCTGTGACAGCCCCACGTTCCCCTAAGGCGAACCAAAGAGGTTAGCGGACTGCCTGCCCACCTCTCGCCAGGACTAACGGTGCAGTATAGAGCGATCTATCACGTTTCAGAACTTATAACGCGCGTAAACAAGCCAAAAAGGGCAAAATAATCCAAAATAAAAGAAACAAAATCCGGAGTCGGCCATGAATAGTAACCGACCCGTCCGAACCCAACCAAACATCGAAATACATAAACAATAGCATTTACAAGCCAAAATGACATTTAAAAGTGATACAAAAGTCACTACATATGTGGTTTGCCAAAACAAAAGTGAAAACGGCCCTAATGATACATTTAGGGTCCCATTTTATATACAATACAAAAGAGTCATTCATCTAGTTCATTCGGCAACCATTTATCAAAATTCATTCCAAAAGAGTCATAATCCTGTAAGGAAAACAAAAGGAACGGGGTGAGCTAAATGCCCAGTGAGAATACAACTCAAGCAACTAAGTTCATAGATGCATCAAGCTTAACAGTCCAATGTACCAAAAATAAGTAAAGCCACACATTAATAATGAGGATAAAAGGATACGGGTGGCTCTCAAGAGCCCTTTTCCTCGTTTGAATTCTTGATCAGGTCTCATTGACTCTCCGTCAATATTTGAAAAGTAACCACCCGTAGACTTCACTTAACTTCCATTCCTTCCACCTCACATTCCCCAACCGGGCCCGAAATCCAAACACATGCATTGTGGTATTACTCGAGTAAACCGGAATCAAGAGTCTCTCATACTACAAGATTCCATATAATGTTGCCCCAAGGTACATTAATTGGCACGACCAAGCTCTCGCCGGCTCGATTCAATCAATTACCAATGGGGTTGAGCTCATGGATAATATTTGAAGTCGTGGAGACTCGTCCAAACGACATCAAGTCATGTATTTCATCTCATATAACATTTCATATAACATGCGAAGCAATAAGTGAAAGTGATAAAGTACACTCTCACTTCAAGCAATTGACATTCAAAGCACCAAGTTCAAGTATCAAAGTCATATAATAACACATAAGTGAGTAGTACACTCACCACGCTTGCAAATGTAGTTTCAAGCACTTTAGTCAAAAGAACGTTGGGCACCACCGTCACGCCCTAAAAACATGCAAACAAATACAATGAGACTCGATAACGAGTCATAAACCAAGGCCAAACATGACCCCAATAAGGTTCCATAAACATTTACAAACAATAGAGGAAACCAGAAATTTCGGAAATGTAACTAGCTTTGGCCCAAAAAAAAACAGTTTTGACGTCATTTTGCGGTAAGGGCACCAATTTCACTATGATTATCGGATGAGGGTGTAAGACCCGCCATCTCGAAGCTAAAAGACAGGGCTACAACATCACAGAAGGTCACTCAACCCAGTTTTGAGTGCAAACAGGTCAAAAATGCAAGATACTTCATCAACAACGTAAAACAGATTCACCAAAACGCATTCTAGCGGTAACATCATAACTCAGGCTCTACATGTCCAAATCCAGAAATTCCAAAACCAAATGAAAGCTAAGAATCAGGTCTAAATTTCATCAGAAGGCCTCAACAACCAATTCGGAAGCAATCCAGACCAAAACAACCAATTACAGTCGGAAATCCCAATTTCGGGTAAAACAGAACAGCAATAGTAATTTCGATTTATCTCATTCTACACAACTCCGATTGACCTGAAATTTTGTAGACACCTATAAAATGTCATTCCCTACAACTTTCATGTTTGAGCTAAGGCCAATTCGGCCTCTATCTAGTACCTAAAATTTTGGACAGAATGCACCCTTAAGAACCCTAGATTTTCCAATTTTCTTCCAAAACAGAAATTAGTTGCAATTAATCACTTTTCTCACCTCCTTAAGTCATTATAGAACATTTCCAAACATCATAGATAGCCACACCATCATGCTTATATTAAAACAGAAAATTCCCCAAAATAATAAAAATTCATCATTTCAACCACAAATCAAGAATTAATCCATAAACTTGCATCTTCTACTTCCACTAAGCATGATTTGAGCATCAATTAAAGGAGGAGGGTGGTTCTTCACAACTTACCTTCAAAACAAGAGAGAGAGAACTATGGACCACCTTAACTTTCCAAATAACTTCACCAATCACCTCAAAATCACTAAGTGAAGGAGTTTTATGGAGCAATTGGAAGATTAATCGGTTGATTTGAGGGATTGAGCAAGATTGTAGACCAAAATTGTGGAGAGTTTTCTTCCTTGCTTAGAGCAAGAAAGTCGGCCAAGAGAGCTTGAAATAAGAGCTTATTTTGGTCAATTTTGATATTAATTTGGTAAAGGCATGAATAGTGGTCAAATGGCAAGACTAACTCTTATGGTGACACTTGTCACCTTTTATTAAATGCTCAACTACCTTGTCTCCCTTATATCAATCCACTTAGCACTCTCTACTTATCTCTTAACACCCGATAAATTAATTCCAGTATTCAAAACTTAATCTAGTTGGCCGAATTTTTCCGAACTTTTCGCACTAGTGGGTCCCACGTCCGGTATCTGCTCTTAATTTCTCAAAATCCATTCGATACTAGAAAAATCATCTAAAAATTATATCTGCTCCTTAAAATTATCTAGAAAAATTTCTAATCACGAAGATGCAGAAAACAAGTCATGAAAAATAATAAAACCTAGAAAATGAAATTTACGGGTTCTCACATAGGCCGCTGCATAGCGCGGCCAGACCCATGCTAGTATATATATATATAAAAGATGCTAAGGATCTCCTGACAGACTCACCACTGCATGATCAATGCCAGTCCCAAATGGGACTAATGCATCTCTCTCCAAAGCTCGGACTGCAATGCTCAGGGCAATGGATGAGAACTAGACCTCAATCCTAATTTATTCGGAATGGAAGGCGTTAATTGACAGAATTAGTCATGGATGCATTGGTCTCTTCTTTACATCTGGTAATAGATGATATTAAACTTTTGAATAAATTTGTTATTGTTTCTTCCCTTCGCTTCTCATGATGAAAGGAAACTCAAAATTTATAGCCATGGTTTGCTAAAGTTTGCCGTTTAACTTTGTTAATAATGTCAGATGAAATGATTATTTTCTTGTCTGGCTTGTTAAAGAGGCACATAATATTTCTATAGTAGTTGTATATAATTACTCTTGTAATTAACCTTTTACTGAAATATATAATAAAGATGACTTTGACAAAAAAAAAAATAAAAATCACTAGATATTTTTTTTTGGACAAAATACAATTTACCTCCCTGTGATTTAGCAATTTTTCACATAATCCCCTTATAGTTTCAAAAGCTATATATAACCCATCATAGTTTGGATTAAAGTGTCAAAGTGACGGAAATAGAACCCATAAAAATATCAAAATTGCCCTTGTTTAAAAATTAAAATTGCTGAAATGACCAAAATATATAAACATAATATGCATCACACTTTAACTCCATATGATTTTATGTTTCACCGTATAACCCTCTTATAGTTTAGTGTTTTACCATATAACTCTTTAATGGTTTTCAAAATATATACATATAACCCCCTGTGATTAATAATTTTTAACTTTATATAGGGGTACTTTTGACATCTT